AACTTTTTTGTTGAAATAAAAAAATATTTTTCTACAAAATCAAAAGAAAAATATTCATTTTGTTGAAATAAAAAAGAAAGTACTCTATCTAAATCATAAAAAAAAAGTTCTTTTAATAACATTTCTATCTTAAGGTGGGGCTAGAGTAGGGAGGAGGGTTAGGGTAGGGTGGTTTTGGAGATGGGTTGGAGAAATTTCGTGTATGTGAAATTCCAACTCCGATTAGGGGCGGATTTAGTTCAATAGCTACGGGTTTCCGTGAACCCAATAGCTTTTGTTTAGAACCTGTATTTATATTAAAAAATTCATTAAATGTATAAGAATATTTAGTTTGGACCCAATCCGTTCATTCAATTAATATTGTGTATCAACTCGAAATTTTTGTAGGAACCCATAAACCTAAATTCTTGGATCTGCCTCTAACTCCAGTATAGCATATATTGAAGTTTCAAACATTTACTGATTCACATGAAACCCACCACATACATCAGAGCATATACTTTCTGGCGAATCAAATGAAAGGTGATTTTTCTGTTTGCTCCATCAGATACTCTGGTTTCCACTCGATATTGTTGGTATGCGTTTGAAGTAATTAAAATTTTAGTAGTTGTGGCTGTAGGGTAAATTGTTTTCCTGATTTTCCCACTAGTTGGGTAGTCATTATGATCCAGATCAACAAGAAGCAAAAAAAATAAATTGGCTTTGATCAGAGTTTGCTTGGTTGAGTCTGCTCTCTATTGCATGCACAAATCGTTTATGGGATTTTAACTTATAAAGGTTTGAATCCCATGGATTGTGTAATATGGGCAATATTTTGGCTAGTGGAGTCCATCTTACATATACATAAACCTATTTGCAAGTAGACTTTGCCGGTAATATTTTCACTTGGGGCCAAAGTATTGCATTGTGTGGTGGATATTATTTACAAAAGTTTACACCAAGGTTTTTTGCCTATTAAATGAAAGGCCATTCGTTCAGTTTCTACACACCAAAAGCTTTCAAGAGCTTCTTTAATCTCTTGTTGTTCTTCTTCTTTTATTATAGAGTATTTTATAAGAGAGTGTATTGTGAAACACTTGTGTGAACCTTTCTTTGGAGTGATCTTGTGAGGTTATTTTTTTGGGGTATTTGAGACTAATTAGAGTATTTACTCTACTTATGTACTCTTGTTGGTATAGTGAAACTGCTTTTCTCCGCTTGTGCAGGTAGGTCACCTTGACTGAACCACGTTAAATTTGTGCCTTCTTTATTTGCTTTAATTAGCGTTATTATCAACTTGCATTGTCTTTGTTATTGTCATTATAATGTTGTTTGGCTAAATTCCGCACTACCTGAATTTCCGATCCTAACAGATTGCTTATAGGGTTTGAAGCTTAATTCTTACTTGTCAAAACTTCGAACTCCAGTATCAATTGCTCGAGTTGTTTTGTATGGGTCAATGGCTAATTTCTCAATACAATTCAAAAGTTGGCTAAACTCTAATAGCTGGCCGAAAATGTGACTACGTCAATATATTCCCAACAATATTTGCGCTAATTGTTGCTACATATCTTCACCAAGATCCCAGATTTGAAACTCAAGATCCGGAAAAAGTCTTAGACTAAATAGCCCGTTTGGCCAAGCTGCAAAAATCAGCTTATTTTGAGAAGTATTTTTTTTTAAAAGTACTTTTCTCAAAAGTACTTTTGGTGAGAAGCAGTTTGTGTTTGACTAATTAGTTTGAAAAACACTTCTGAACAACAATTAGTGTTTGACCAAGCTTTAAAAAATTGTCTTTAAGTGTATTTTTCTCAAAAGTGCTTCTCAAAAAAGTGCTTTTGGAGAGAAGCTACTTTTTTCTGCTTCTCCTCAAAAGCACTTTTTTTCCTTCCAAAAGCTTGGCCAAACACCTCAATTTTTAGCCAAAAGTACTTTTGGCAAAAAAAACACTTTTGGCCAACAAGAAACTTGGCCAAACAGGCTATAAACCGCAACAGTCAATTTGAGAAAAAACAAGAAATCATCAAGAACCATCTATGTGTGTTTCAAATTACCAAAGATTGTTTTCCGATATCTTACTCAAATCTATCAAAATTCGTGATAAACTTGTGCTCTGATTTGCTTCATGTTTGATATAGTTAAATAATAAAAGAAAAAAACTTTTAGTTAGTTTGATTTGGCAATTAAATAAAGGGGAAAGGGACAAATATACTTCTCTACTTTCGATAGTGTCCAATTTAACCTCCGTTATACTATTCGGCCAAATTTATCTTTACTGTTATATTATCCGGTCAAATTTACCTCTACCATCAGCAAGCTTTTAAAAATTACCCCTTGATCTGTTAGGTAATCAAAAAAATTTCAATTTCTTTTTATCTAAATTACTTGTTCTTCTTGCTCCGTTATTTTCAGAAATTACTATTGATGTGAATGTTAAAGGTACTGTATTATATAAATTATTCATGAATATTTTTAATTACCATTGCACCCATTTTTCTTCTTGTAGTAATGGATTTGGAATTGGTTTAAATTTGATTTATTTTTCAGCCATATACACATCGTGTATGTACATGTATATTCGAATATATTTTGTTGTTGTCCGGTTAGTATAGAGTTCGATTGACTAACTTAAGAGTGCACAATGCTTAGACATTTGATTAAACCAACGTTGAATTCGACAATGTAAAGTCTCTAAGGAACTTCAACTTCTATCACAAATACTTGCAAGTTTCCATACCTTT